GAGCCCTGGGATCTCTCGCTCCAGTGCCCGGGTCACCTCGAGCCATTTGCTCTGGCAGTCCAAGGTGCTTCTGTCCAGGGCTGGTTGCCATCTCCTGCCCTGGAGCTCGGCTCCCTATCACACAGCCTTGGCACACCACCAGCTCCCTGCCAGCAGGAAAGACGCAAACGGCAGGTTTTTGGGCGCTTCCCGGTCTCGCACCCTGCTCTGGTGAGGCTCCAGAAGAGCCTTTGGTCCCAGATGACACCCAAAGGTGGTGGAGACCCCTGGCTTGTTCGATGGCTGCGTCGGAGCCAGGGCTCTGTAGCAATGGGACACGCAGGCTCAGCAGAGCCCTAGGAGGGGGACGGCACTGTCCCAAGGTGGGTCTGGAAGGTGACCAGCTGGTGCCTTCTTGATCCCTTCCCTGTCTCGGCCTAACAGTTCTGCCCCGCTCTGCTTAGAGGAAAATTCCTGCACGTCAGAGGGAAGCGCAGGGCCACCGTGTCCCTGCGGTGACTCTCCCTTCCCTCCTAGTGACAGCCTTCCCCTGCCACCTCTGTGCACCCAGAGCCGGTGTCCAGAGGGAAACGGCCGCAAACGCTTCGGGCAGCTCTGCTGCCGGATTCTGCCTGCGTAGGCTGCCTGGGCATCCCAGGCAGCATCCCTCTCTGGCGGCTGTCACCTCGGCGGTGGGCTGTCTTTGGCACTCCTAACTCCGCAAGGCAGAGCGAGCAGTACGGTTCCCTGGGACCTGATCAGCGCACTGAAAACTGTCTGCTTGGTTGAGTACCTTCTATATTCTTTTTTAAGTATTAGAATGATAGTGTTGTGACTGCCAAGGTAGGTGCAGGCCTGCCAATGCGGTGGTGTCTCCTGCCAGCTGATGTGCACCCTGTCTTGGTTGGGTGGAGCTCCTGCGGTGGGAAGCATGGCCGTGTGGGGCCAGCCGCGTCCGTGCCGCTGGAGCTGTGGGTTGGTACGGCTGTTGCCCTTTCTTTGCTGTGTGCACCCAAAAAGAGCCTCTGGCAGATCCCTGCCGCCAGCCCGAGGGACTGCTGACAGCTTGTGTCATCGCGCTCCCTGTAAAGCGTCCCCTTCCCAAGAAAAAGCCCTTCTGTGGCTGGGTGACTTCGCCAGGTCGCTGTGGAGCGGCTGTTTTTGCGAGGAGCTCCTCTCCTGCACAGGCGCCTGGGAAGGTGGCAGGCGATGTTTATCTCAGTTGCGTTTTCCGGGGCTGGAGAGCACGTGTGTTATCATACGGCAGATGGGCCTGGTGAATAGATGGTGGAGACAACTGCATTTCCTCACGCAGGCTCGTTGCCCGCTGGGAAAGGAGCCAGCCAGGCTTCGTAGGGAGAAGTACAGAGCTTGCACAGGCTGCGGGTGGGTTTCTCCTTTAGGCAGTTCATTTCTGAGGGGTAGGTGTTGGTGTGGGACAGAGGCTGATGCTACAATCCACCGTGTGCTGGTACAGGGTGTACTGTATAAGGACGGGTTCCAGCCTTGTGCCCTCTGTGATCTTCAGACCCTTAAATTAATTCTGGTGCTCCAGGCAGGGACTTGAATTGTCCGTCAGTCCCAGGCAGGAGTCTGGTGGGAGCAGGCTGCAGTCTGGTCTACTGCCAGTTGTCAAGGCCGGGGAGCCGGTGGCTGTGAGGGACAGCCGAAGATGCCTGTCCCATGTCCTCTCCCATCTCTCTGTGTCTCCCACTAGCTTGCAGCGAAAGCCGTGTGGCTGCCGGGCACCGTGACACGGTGCGACAGCCATCCCGGGGAGAAGTGGGCAGGAAAGTCTCCTGCCAGAGCTTACCACGCTGGTGGCCCTGCCACTGCAAGGGGAGCTACAGACCTTTGAGGGAAGAGCTGATGGCCTGTCTGGGAGGCTTTTTGGTTTTCCTGAGAGCTGTCAGTGGAGAAAGTCAAGTAGGTGGAAATCCCAGCAGCGGGCAGGATGGTGTCCCTGGAACAGACAGTGTTGGGGGCCAACTCCTGCGGCGTGGGGGAGAGGAGGGGACCAGGACGGGGACAGCGTGGCCGGGGAGCGATTGCAGCTCCCCAAGGCCAGTATCGGAGCTTCGGGGGGAGCACGTGCAGCGGCAGGGCAGAGCACTGCAGTGTCCTGGCTTCTGCCTCCCTTCTTGCTGCCTGGAGCTTGGATCTCCTGCCCGGCCAAGGGAAGCGGTGCTGCCTTCCCCAAGCCCGCAGCTCGTCACGGATAGCGCATCAAGCAGGTCTGGCGATGCGGCGCGTCCCACCGTCCCCTCGTGTGGCACTTCTGTCTTTTAGGTTATCCTGGTTTTTCCCTTCTCTCTGTTGGTGTGGGAAGGGATTTCTTTCCATGGTCCTGTGGTTGCGTGGCCAGAAGCCTTTGCCTGCTGGGTAGGACCGTGGGTGCGAGAGGGATGTGTGCAGCAGGAAGATTGGTGGCTGGAGGGTCCCGCTCTGCAGTAAGCACCATGGCATCTGCATTTAGGGGTGGATTTTTTGGAGCCAGTGCTCTCCAGCACGGTGTGCAGTGGGTAACAGCGTGGGACGCTGCAGGAGGACGGATGGGGATGGCGCAGGTTGCTGACAGCCTTTGCTTGCCTTCTGCTGATGCCTGTGGTTTGATGAACCTCATCCAGTAAGACGAATGGATGTGACAGGATCACGGTGCCCTTCATGGCCCCGTTTGCTTCCCCGTCTCCGCTGGAGCCAGGCACACAGCTCCTTCCCTTTCTCTGTTTGAAGAATGATCTCCCTTTCAGACGGTTGTGGGCATGGTGCTGCCACGGGGGAGAGGACTGGACAGTGGCTCACAGCTGTAGGACTTCAGGCAGAAAAATCAATGTTTATATTTCTCTTAGCTGGGCAAGATTCCTTAAATAACTCCGGTAAATAAATACCTTGTGAAGTTCCAACTATGAAGGCATGGTATATGAACCAGAATGAATTTTCAAGCTCTCTCTTGCAATAAAATGGATTTCTCGGATTTGGGCTTTATTTAGAGAAATGTTTGATTTAAGAAGGGAGTTGAAGGTTGTAGCTGATCTCTTTGTGAGGGGGAGCTGCTCTTCTGATGGCTGTGGGGCATGGTCTGGGAATGTGGTCGGATTGCTGCTGCTGCTGAGGTATTCCCAGGAGAGTTTCTTGCGTACCCAGGCAAAGGGAGGGTCGCTCTCCTCCTCCCCAGGGTGGTTCTTGCTGCATCCTCTGTCCCCTCCAGACCCCGCTGCTGCAATGCAGTCTGCTCAGCCACCTTGGGAAGCTGGTTGTGCAGGTGCTGCTGCTCAGGATGCTGGAGACCAGCCAGGACCTGGGTCCCTCTGTGGACTGCACCGGCGTCTCATAGCTTTCTGCGCTTGCCCTCTGTGGCATAAAACGTCTTCTTTCCCTTCTTTCTTCCAGCCTGTGTTGTGGTTGAACCTGGTCCTTCAAGGGATGCTAGAGAGGGAGCCCGTGGTGAGCCCGCTGGGGTGCAGCCCCCTTGATTTAGGCTGCTGGTTCCTTGGTCTGGGATGACCTGAATTTGCTGTTCCCGGGAAGAGCTGAGGGCACGGGGTGGACTTGGAGGCTTCTCCTGCAGAGCTGGCCCTGCCTGGGCTCTCAGGCAAGCAGAGCAGGGCGGAAGGGGTTGGATGGGGACCATCTCAGCTGAAGAGAGGCGCAGCTGGCCTGGAGCTTGGGTTCAAGGTTGGGGCTTGAGACTTGGCTGCGTTATCTGGGAGCAGGAGTGCGTGGAGGGAGGGCTCCGGGCTCGTGCCGCACGTTTACCCGAAGGAGAACTGTTTTGTCCTTGTGCGAAGGAGGAGGAAGCAGAAGGCTCTGTTTCAGCTCCACCTTTGCTTGAAGCTCCAGGAAATGACCCCAAGCAGGGGACAAAGGGCACCGTGTGGGGCTGGGATCCTTCTGCTCTACATCAGCACATGTGCAAGCGTGGCATCGCCTTCCTGAGAGCACCAGGACGGCCGCGGTGAGGGAGAGCTGCTCCGTGCAAGCCCAGAGGTTGCTGTGGCCTGTGGAGCTGGTGCTGCTGCTGCACTTTGCTTTCTGAAAATTGAACCTGCCTGGAAAAAAATATTATTATGACTTTCTGCCCCGGAGTGAGGTGGCTGTGGTGTGTGTCAGACCCGTTGCCCCATCAGGGTTTCAGGCGTTCCCAGGCAACACTGGAGGTGGAAAGCGAGGGCTGGCGCTGACGGCAGGGCTCTGCGGCCTCTCCACGTCCCAGGTAAGTGGGGCAGGAGCTGGAGCTGGGACACGGTGCCCGACAAAGCCTGCTGATAGAAATGCCTTGCCTCTGCCAGAGGTTGGGGAGAGTCAGGAGCTGCTGCCGAGCTTAGAACCCACCGTTGACCTGTCCCGGTGCCGGCTTGCCACGGCCCGCCTCAGCTCCGGCATGGAGCTACCGCTCGCAGTCTGGCCGGGCCAGGTTTCTGGCCCTGAAGCCTGTAGCCAGGTAAAAGCACCACTGTACACCACAGCCTGCTTTTCTGTGCTCGGTGGTGCCTGGCGTGGGATAACACAGTTATCCCAGGGTGGATAAGTGGTGTGCCAAAAGGAGAGGAGAGATACAGGAACAGGAGGTGAAACAGAGGTGGAGTGACGCCGAAGGAGGAAAGAATTGACCCTGGGAACAGCAAGAAGGCAGAGCAGGGTGTCACCTCCTCCAGAGGGCTGCAAACAAGCTGCAGACATACAAAATTGTTGAGGTTGGGCACAGGGGCGGTGTGCTTGCTCGCCGGGGCGCATCCCCGCAACGAGAGAGGGGTCAGCAGCGTGCAACACTGTTTCTTGTGCCCTTCCTGAAGTGTTTTGGGTGGAAGCCAGTGTATTGCCGTGCACTTGGAGAAATCGTTTGTCAGTGCCAGAGGAACAAGTGCCTGGAGAGCAATGACTGGACTGATGGTTGTCCCCTTCCTGGAAGCAAGGTCCTGATTGTGCTAGCCCAGGAAACCCACGGTACGCCCACGTACCGGGTGACCTTGGCCTCACGCTGTCTTCTGCTTTCTTCCAGCCACTCCCACTCTCCCGGCTCCATGGCTGCCGTCCGCGAGTGGTCCTGCACCCGCTGCACCTTTCTGAACCCCGTCGGCCAGCGGCAGTGCTCCATTTGCGAAGCCCCCCGCCAGAAGCCCGACCTCAACCACATCCTGCGGCTCAGCGTGGAGGAACAGAAATGGGCTTGTGCCCGCTGCACCTTCAGGAACTTTCTGGGCAAGGAAACCTGCGAGGTATGTGGCTTCACCCCAGAGCCAGGGCCCAGCGGCTCCCCCTTGCCCGTCATCAACGGCATCCTGCCCAAGCCCGCCGTGCTTGTGGAGCCCAAGGGCACGTCCAAGGAGGAGGCTGCCAAGGCAGAAAGCAGCAGCGAGGACTCGGAGGGGAAGAGCCCTGATGAAGCGGAGCTGGAGAGTGGCTGGGCTTGCCAGCGCTGCACACTGCACAACACGCCGGTGGCCAACTCCTGCTCTGCCTGCGGTGGCCCACGCAAGCTCTCCCTGCCCAAGATCCCACCAGAGGCGCTGGTCGTCCCTGAAGTCATCACCCCTGCTGGATTTCACATGGCCCCCTCTACTCCGCAGCCTTTAGTCTCTGCAGAGATCTCGGATGGTGATGCCATGGCCACGCAGGGCCCAGTGGCTATGGAACAAGAGGCCCAGAAGATACCAGCCTTCAGTCCCTTCTCCCCGGGGCTCCAGAACAACCCTGTGCCCCGAAGCCGCCGGGAGGTGCCCCCCCAGCTGCAGATGCCGGGCCCTGAAGCCTCCCAGCCCGTGGCTCAGAGCGCAGCGGGGCAGAAGGGTTCTCCGCAGGGTCAGCCCAGGGCTGCCCCGGCTGCCCGCTTCCAGGAGCTGCTGTCCACCAAGCGGCTGAGCGTGCTGGAGGAGGAGATGGAAGTCAGTCCATCCCACTGGAAGTGCAGCTACTGCTCCCTGCTGCACTCTGCCGGGGTGGGCA